TTCCTTTTTTTTTTTTTTCCCCCCCCCCCCCCCCAGGATATATTAGCAGTACATTTCAGCTTTAAAGTGTAGGTCAAAATCTCTGTGGCAATTTCAAATCAAACAAAGCACAGGGGTTTTATAATAAAAATCCTGTTTTCCAATTAACTACTGTACACACCAAAAAACATCTTTATATGACATTGAATTGGAGAAAACCACCGGAAATCTATATCCAAAATTGATTAGCTGTCTTTTGAGCTCTTCAACACTAGGAATGGAGAGCATTAACAACAGATGAAAATTATATTTAATAACACCGAGAGAAATTGTTCAGGTTTAGTTTTGTGACAGCATTACAAAATGAACAAAAGCTGTGTTTTCATAAACGGTGCAAATCTTGAACGATTTCAGGATGTCAAAAATTGGTACATCTATATCATTATGGTTTTGTTAGATTGAAAATCATGTAACTGTTGTCAAATCCTTCATTGCAATTCGGCAATTACGTACAAAGTGTAAACTGTGTGTACAATATATCAATTATATTTCATACAAATCCACACATTCATACAACAGTGTGTACATAAACCAGTTACACCAATACTAAGTCATGATGACTGTTTATAACTGAAAGTTAAAAAATAAAAGATCAACCTTACATGGATGTTTCAAAAGAGGTTTTATGACCTATGACCTATGATTTAAAATCAACTTTAGGGGAAGAAAATAAAACAAACAAACCATCCTTGAATGTACTAAGTACTGGTAAAAACTTGAAAATGTTTAAAAATGAAAAAAAAAAGATTTGTGTCGTGGAGATTGTATTATGATACAAGTATTATTGGCACAACTACATCTGGACTGGTTAGTCAACAGGGAAGGGGTTGCTGGAGGTAGGTAGTACATCAATTACTGTAACTACGGTAACGAGACGCACTCCACAATGTTATATCATCAAACATCTGGGGGATACAGATGTCACTGTCCTTGTACTTTCAACTTTTGTTTCATTATCATGTTGCAAGCATTTTTGAAAACAATTTTTTAAGATGCCCAAAATCAAAGAGAGTATTATTCAGGCTATTATGAGCTTATGAGATGATAAATTATTTCATTTTTATGATTTCTGGACAATTTTTAATTCAAATCCAATACTAAGGAAACTTATACTTCTAAATGTCTAAGAAACTCAAAAGTCTGCATACACAAGATCTGACAGGGGAGCAACACGTCATTGACTACACATCACTGTAGGACGAAGAATGAATCTCTCATCCCAGACACATCTTCATGTAAGGTTAGACATCGGTGTTTGAAATCCTCCTGTTAATCTATTTTGTGTATTAAAGAAAGTACGAAGGCACATCAATTACAGAGCTAAATGAGCTGCTACATCACTACCACAGCACAAGTAACGGGATCAAACAAATACATTCATACATGCAACCTAGTACAAAATGGCATCTGCCACTAATCATCGTTACTATGGTAACAAGTCATGCAGTGACAGTGGGGACAGCCTTTACTTTCTACACATGAACAAAATCAAACCAGGGAATGACCTAAAGTATAAAAATATCCCAATCAATGACGTATAAAAAAAGTCAATCTCAAATACACAACATAATAACGTGATGAAATCTAGCACCAAGACCATATAGAACATCTCCTACTGATTCCATCAACAAGAATATGTTATATGCAGTTTTGAGAATAGTGATTAAAACAAATACTGCACTAATATAAAGTCCTTGTCCATAATGTCAGCAGGCTGGTCTGTGTGGAGTTCTACAAGACATAAATTGATCACAATCATAGACATCCAGTACAAGGGAAGATCTACGCATGGAATTCCGTGCACATGCTTGATAATTTGAACCATAGATACATTTATATATCACATATATGGTGTGGAGAACTAAAGATTACCTCTCTCTCAGTAAAATGTTATCAACTGTTCATTTGGAAGCGATTTTATATATCAGGTATCTTTAAGTCCTTGAGATGTATTAATGTACATTGTATATAACAATTCTAACAGTGTATATGTGTTATATATATTGTACTATTTTCTAAATGTGTCATACATCATTTAATATCTGGATAATTTAGCCAGCAATTAACAACTATATATAATAGATGTGTCATAGAAAATTGAAACAAATATCAATAACATTTGTTCAATTGCCTTTCAAACACATTTCTACAGCAAAGGGAGGTAACCTTGTAGCTAGCATCAAGACTGTCGGATACAGTATTAGCTGGTTCAACTATCTCTAATCTGGAAATAATAGCAATGACAGGAAGGATGTTTAACAATAGAAATATATGACACAAAATAACTTATAATATCTGTGATAATAGGGAGAAGACATAGTTTAACATAGGGAGGTTTAAATAGTTAATACTTAAACACGTTCATGTTGTCTCTAAAATAGGTTCACGTACTGAGTAATAGGATTCTTTATAATGCTGTTCTAAAGTAAATAAATATGAGATTCTTTAAAACATTTGATGGAAAAACTGTCATGTATTTCAGTGCTGATATATATATATATATATTTATTTGATAAATGATTGTTATAGAAAAACCTCTTGTGTTACACTACTTGTTGTAGATGAGTTGGATACACAGATCATATACATATCGTTTCCATGGTAATAATAGATGTATCATTTATATCTAATAATTATTTATCTTTACTCATTCATCCCTGAAATTGCATAATGAGCTATTCCAACCTTTGAATTGGACGAGTTCAAATGTGTCTTTCGGAGGTGAATGAGTTAAAAGTAAATATGCTTGATCCAAAGGGATTCTGACAAACTGTTTCAGACTTTTGTCTGACAAACCATTCCAGATTTGTTTCTGACAGATAGTTCTAGACCGACTTTTGTCTGACAAACCATTCCAGATTTGTTTCTGAAAGATAGTTCTAGACAGACTTTTGTCTGCCAAACCATTCCAGATTTGTTTCTGACAGATAGTTCTAGACAGACTTTTGTCTAATAAAAAGTAAACATGCGACTATTTCCTTCTCACTTGGCTCACGTTAAGCATTGGTTAATCTGTGATTGTGTACAAATCTAAATACAGAACATGATAGTAAGAGTACTACATCTACTGACGTGAAACACATCTGACCAGAGGATAATGGTCCTATCCAGTGGATATATTCAGGAAATTACAGTTCATATCCATTGAATAACAATTAATATCCAGTGGATAGCTGTTATATCCAATGGATACACTTAAATTCATTGAATAATAGTTATATCCAGTGACTATGGACAGTTAATATCAAGTGGACAATGGCTATATTCAGTTGATAACAGTTTTATCCAGTAAATAACAGTTTTATCAAGTAAATAACAGTTCATATCCAGTGGATAAAAATCTTAAATTCAGTGGATAATTGTTATATCCAGTGACTATGGACAGTTAATTTCAAGTGGACAATGGTTATATTCAGTTGATAACAGTTTTATCCAGTAAATAACAGTTCATATCCAGTGGATAAAAATCTTAAATTCAGTGGATAATTGTTATATCCAGTGACTATGGGCAGTTAATATCAAAAGGATAATGGCTATAGTCAGTATATAGCAGCTAATATCCAGTTAGTTACAGTTCATATCCAGTGGATACACTTAAATTCATTGAATAATTGTTATATCCAGTGACTATGGACAGGTAATATCAAGAGGTAAGTGGTTATATTCAGTGGATAGCAGCTAATATCCTGTTGGTTACAGTTCATATCCAGTGAATAACAATTTATACCCTGTGGATAAAACTAAATTTTCAGTGGATAATGAAGTTTTAAAGAAAGTTAATATCCTGTGGATAAAAATTCATTTCCAGTGAGGAATTGTATCCAGTGGAAAATGGGTGTCAAAATTTCAATGTTATTATCATGATCATTTAGGAAGCATTACCTAGCAACCGTCATCATTGTACAATATTAGGTTTTTTATCACAATAATGGTCAAATCATCTAAAAAATCTTAACTTCTAAAGAGAGTACATGTACAACCTTTTCCTGTAGTTTTATTTTAGAGATGGTCAATATTAACAAGAGAAATAATGTTAGTACACGCAAAAATACTCATTATTAAAAAGTGAAGAAATAAGGTTAAGGAACAGAAAGGAAATTATATGTAACAACATTTTGAAGTCTATTCAAGTTACAATGATTGTTCTTTACTAAAACTATTGATTAAAACAGGTGTAAAAAAACCTTGAAAATTATTAAAAATTACTAAAATGTGTAAAGTTTTTTATCAGTAATCAATATATATGCATACATTATTACATTGTAAAATTTATTTTGGAAGTAATTTGTTTTGAAACTTAACTTACCCTGACATATCGGGGAAGCTCATCAATGAACAACGTTTGACAATATTGGCATAAAGACGGCAAGACTAGAGGTGTTACACAATGATCTGATACAACTAAACAAATCTCTATCTGGCAAGAAACTCTACATAGAGGACAACATAAAGATTGCACCTTGAAATTGTAAGCAAATTCTTTTAAAAAATCATGTTGAAGTTAATATCACTTAAAAGTATCTTTCTGGCATGTACATACAACGTATACTCATTTCAGCACCTTTAAAACATATAACAATCACTTAAAAACACACTTAACAATCGAACAAGTCCACACAGCGGACAAGCTCCCATCTCACGAAGTCAAAAACAACTGTTCACTGTACTCATCGCACAGAACCAGACAAGCCTCCTTCTCAACAAGTCAAAAATAAATATAGTTACCCCACTGAACCAGAATTAACATAGCAGTAGAGACAGACTTCACATCCAAGCACTCACTTACGTTAACATCTATGGAAAATAAAATAGGAATGGTGTGAAAGTTTATACTGGTCAAGATTTAAACGAATGATGATACATTTTAAGCAAGCGTCTTAAAAAAGTTGGTGAATTTATGTTGAGTGCTGGCTTTTGTAAAATAAAAGAACATAGAATGTAGCCAGATCATGCACATTTTACAAAACACTATCTGATAATTGTTACACTATTCAAAATGGCTTTTCAGTATTAGGTCTATCTGATATGATTGCCGGTGAATAAGATTCATGCCCAGGAACTCTTCACTTCTCTGTGACTGTTTCAGGTTAACATTTTAATGAGTGACCAATGAATTGCATTGAGTAATCTTTTCTACATGGTTCCTAACTGTTATCAAAATAACGTAATCTCATGATGGGAGTTTTTAAGTCTGTTCTCCAAGATCTCGAAGTACTTTGCTGATGTGTATGACAACACCCATTCGTGTGACTGAGAGTTGTCCGCCTTGTCAACAGGACATCTGATCAAATCCAGAAGCAATCCACCATTCCAGCAGTGGACCAGTCCATGATTATTTGGGGGTGTGATCAGGGTACAGTCACTGACAATGTTGCCATGGTTGTGCTGTCAGCCAATCAGCAGACCTATACTTGAGATGATATTGATATGTCTGGGTACAGCACAATTCTCTAACTTACTAACATGGTGATAATGCAATGGTACAACTGATGAAGATGATCTCTGTTTCCATGGTAATATAACCTGCTGTTATCTGGAAGCTCCCTTCAATTGTATTTAATTGAAACATGGTTTTGGATGAATAGAATCTAGAGTTATTTCCCTTGTGCTACACTGTTTGTTTCGTGTGGAGTTCCTCTACGATACCACCCCAGCGGAGACGGAAACGTTTTGTCCTCCAGACAATGGTGGAGTCCCAGTGGGAGCGAACTATCACGCACAAATAGGAAACCTCATTCATTATCCAACCGACCAGGAATTCAAATTTGGAGAAAGGAAGAGGTCCATCCTGAAATGAAATAAATAATAGGACATGTTTTATTACAACAAATATGACAACCAACGAAAACATTGTCTTCTAGTAAATCACATTCATGGTTTTCATTAAGAACAGGCAGCTGGCCAAAATGACTGGTTCAGGTCTGATTTTGGCCTGTTCAAATCACCTTTCCATATACATTTGTATATCTATGTGATTTTACAAGAGTTGGCCGAATAAAAATGTCATTTGGTCTGTTCAAATACAAAATACTGAAAAGCCTGCACATTGAATCCCTACACAAACAACTCAGTTATGAATTTCAAACTTTGTTGCATCAACTAAAAATAGAATATTGTGTTAACTTGATATTGACTTAAAAATGTGTACATCTGATTTTGATCCTATCAGACATGATGATTGAGATCAAAACTGCACCAAGTGCCGCTTGTGAAAACTAAATAATGAGATAGACTTGACCAGAACTCTTTAGACTGTGAGTGACTTACCTCTAAAATCTTGATAAGTATGTAGTCGAGCAGGAACCAAATCAAACAGTGCACTAAGAAGATGACAGAGGCTGTCCAATTGAAAAGGTAGGCCATGGACAGAGCATTCATGACGCCCAGCACGAGACACTGGGATACCGGCTCCCAGAATATCAGTGACGGAATCATGGCTGTACGCAGCTTGGCCCACCTACAACAGAAAAACAATTAAAGCTGACCATCCAGGCAGTAAGTAGCAGACTTTTTTCTCCTACAGTTTACAGCCTCGATTGCAGGCAGTATTATATAAACTATTATTTTACACAGCGAAACTTTCACTAAGTCCAAGTTTTTCCTTCACTGGAAAAATCTGTATATCATGTTGTGTATTAATATTTTCTGACAATATAAATTCTCACTCATTGTGAAGTGCAAAACAGCAAAAGTTAAATTGCAGCAAAAAAACCCTGGTATACAGTATAGAAGTGCATGTCGAAAGTAGTGATGGGCAATCAGTTTAAAATCATAATCGATAATCAGTTTGTAACCGAAAGTAGTAAACTAATTGATGATCAATTGTATACGTTCGTGGTTGCCAATAATCCACGAAATGAAATCCCCACGAAAACATAATTTGGTATGATATAGATAGGGGAAAATCAGAAATTAGCAAAATATACTGTCCTTGAAACAGGCTAGTCTATGAAAACCACGAAATTTTAACCCCAAGAGAAAAAAATGATTCTACAGTAATCACTTTATAATTTTATGGGACTGAATGCCAAAATAAAGAGAGAACATTATTTTTTCATCAACAGACAGACTTGTTATATATATATTAGGTTTCCCTCTTATATGATTCCCCCCCCCCCCCAAATTTATCATATATATATAAAAAAAAACAAAAAACAATGTGTACTGTAAACGTTGCATATTTGACACTTAAGTTCAGAAATGAACCGATCAATTCTATAATAGAATTTGTGATTGATAATGGATATTAGAAAGGGCGAACCGATCTGTTTTTTTATTATAATCAATCATCAGCCTAGTTGAAAGATATATATTTGTTTAATGATGAAAATGCTGTTCTGGGTCCGTTAGGACTGTATTGTTACACTGTAAAAGAATTAACTAATCTTATTGGTTCAGCTCAGCTGTCCCTCCAGATAAGGCTTTGCGATGAAGAAATGAAGATTTGGGCTGTTGAGTAGCAGCTAGTTTGGTATATCGTAAAGAATATCATATTTCTTGATAATAACTTGCCTCATAAATACTTACAAGTTGCATACTGATCAAAAAATTGGCTGCAAATATATTTACATGGTACACGTACCATAATAAACATTATGCAGTTCATCAAGTTAGCAATGAACTGGTGCTCCATTAAGTAAATATCTCTTGGGTGTTACAACATTTGCCGTATCACATTTACTGAATAGAAAACCCTGAGCTCGAACTACCATAAATCAGTGACACAATGATTGGGAGTATTTTCCAATCAATATAAAAGCTTCTCACAGGTTTTGCATTATCCAAGTAATGGAGTACTTCTGACTTATGCATATAGTGTACATTATTTATACCATAGGTTCAACACATGGACAAAATCCAATACATGTACAGACTTATAAATCCCTTATTAATAAATTCATTTGTTAATGACCAAATACACAGTTCTAAAACTTAACTTAAAGGATGCGTAATAAATTTTTAAGTATTTTTAAGAATAGAAAATGAAAAAAATGAAAAATTCTTTAATCTTTAAATATTTATTTTTTAAATATTGCAGGAGAGGTCAACAAGAATTCCACAGAATCACTCATACTCCAAGTGTCTTCAGGATGTAGTAGCTTCTGTCTGTCTCCTTATGCTTAGACAAATTAAGGGCCACAGTTTGCCCTGAAAACATTCTAAATATAACATTACAACACAAAACCATATCATAACAATATGAAAAACTTGCCTAATATTAGAGTGTCAATAAGATGCTTACCTTGTCAATCGGTTATATAAATATGACACTGAGTATGATCCTGAATTCTGTTTTGCTGTTTGGTGTGAAATTCTAATTTTCCATCCCCTGAAAAAAAAGCAAGCAAATGCATCATATTTTGACAGATGTAGTCCAATAATATCAATTAAATGATCTACTCTTACATATACAAATAAAATCCTGTATATTTCTGGTAAAACAAAAAAAAAACAGCTTTCATTCAGAACTTAATTAATAACAACATTTACTAATAAAACAATATCATGCCTGAATATTGCTTGTTTTGTGGATGATGAATATCAAATTTAGCTTGAACCAGATGTCGAGCAATTTCACTGAAAATACGGTGTACTATACCGCCCAGATCTGTCATCAAAAGAACTATTTTTTCCGTTTACAAAACACCAGCATTAAAATATAGTTAAGTGTAGAATGGTCTGAGAAAAAGCTTTTTAAGTTAGAATGTTTACTTTTTGAGGAATGTCTCTGCAAAGAAGAAGTCTTCTGCAAGATACTGTGAGTAGTGTGAAAGTCCTCCAGCCTCATCAATCACCTCCTTCCTCATCAGAGATGACATCCCTGTAGCACAGTTAATCCCCAACAGGTTGGCCACCAGGTACATTTTGGCATGCTGGGTTCCAAAGAAGATCTGCAGCAATTCAGATGTATAAACACATTAGGTATTGAATGTTTTGTGTATGTAAATATACTTTCTTGCATTAATATGTATCAGCATGCTGCACTGTACAAAAGGGTAATAAAACTCTACATATCTGGGCAGTATAAGGATGAACACTGTCAGTTAAAGTGGTTGTTTCCTAACACTTTAATGTATATCGACAGTATAAGGGGGTTGCTCCCTTACACTGATGTATATTGACAGTATAAGGGGATGTGGGGGTTGCTCCCTTACACTTATGTATATTGACAGTATGAAGGGGTTGCTCCCTAACACTTATGTATATTGACAGTATAAGTGGTTGCTCCTTAACACTGATGTATATTGACAGTATAAAGGGGTTGCTCCTTAACACTTATGTATATTGACAGTATAAAGGGGTTGCTCCTTAACACTTTGATGTATATTGACAGTATAAGTGGTTGCTCCCTTACACTGATGTATATTGACAGTATAAGGGGTTGCTCCTTAACACTGATGTATATTGACAGTATAAAGGGGTTGCTCCTTAACACTGATGTATATTGACAGTATAACACTGATGTATATTGACAGTATAAAGGGGTTGCTCCCTAACACTGATGTATATTGACAGTATAAAGGGGTTGCTCCCTAACACTGATGTATATTGACAGTATAAGGGGATGTGGGGGGTTGCTCCCTAACACTGATGTATATTGACAGTATAAAGGGGTTGCTCCTTAACACTTTGATGTATATTGACAGTATAAGGGGATGTGGGGGGTTGCTCCTTAACACTGATGTATATTGACAGTATAAAGGGGTTGCTCCCTAACACTGATGTATATTGACAGTGTAAGTGGTTGCTCCCTTACACTGATGTATATTGACAGTGTAAAGGGGTTGCTCCCCAACACTGATGTATATTGACAGTAACAAGGGGTTGTTCCCTAACACTGATGTATATTGACAGTATAAGGGGATGGCGGGGTTGCTCCCTAACTCTGATGTATATTGACAGTAACAAGGGGTTGTTCCCTAACACTTTGATGTATATTGACAGTATAAAGGGGTTGCTCCTTAACACCGATGTATTGACAGTATAAAGTAGTTGTTTCCTAACACTCTGATGTATATTGACAGTATAAAGGGGTCTTCTCTAACACTGATGTATATTGACAGTATAAGGGGTTGCTCCTTAACACTGATGTATATTGACAGTATAAGGGGAATTGTTCCATAACACCCATATATATTGACAGTATAAAGGGGTTGTTCCCCAACACTGATGTATATTGACAGTATAAAGGGGTTGTTCCCTTACAATTTGATGTATATTGACAGTATAAGGGGTTGCTTCCTAACACTGATGTATATTGACAGTATAAGGGGTTGTTCCCTAATATTTTGATGCATAAAGGGGTTGCTTCCTAACTAATATACATTGACAAAGGTTGTTCTCTGATACCTATGTTCATTGACAATATAAAGGGGTTATACCCTAACACTGTGATGTACATGTATGCTACAGGAAATCAACTGTTATGGTTTTCCTTCATTATCTGTTACCAATATTGTTAATCAATCATTGTGACCCTTACTTGTACATTAATGATTAGCAGGTAACTATTTTTTTTCATTTGATACATTAACATGAGGGAGAACTAACAATGCTATCACATAAAATCTGCAAGTCTTCTGGGAAACATGCATCTTAATGTGACTAGTCATGTAGGTAAAGGGTTGAAATACTTCTCCCGTTAATAACTGCTTTCAATCAATGCGGTATGATAAAAAAAATGTTGATTAGTAATGACCAAAATGACCAAAATCAGTTTTGCTTCCTGATGAAGTATTTTTTTCTATCTAGAGGTTTTATAAGCCGACACTCCGACAGCATAAAGTAACCCTAGGTTAGCTTCTATTGAAGGAGACATCACTTCTCAATCAACATAATTAGAATATGTCTGACAAGAAAGAAATCAATTCCACAACACTGATCTACAAAGGAAAAGGAATCTTTAGTTTGTAGAGCATCTGTTGTGACATTGATCCACACACAAGTAGTGAGGAAATGTAATTAGGTGTGTGGACAGTACAGACACTATTAGCCCTCCCACTGCCCAGGCCGCTGACCAGTGCCTACACATGTACTAATTATCACATTGATTTCTACAGGTCTTTCTGCTGTCTATAGCAACCTGTTACATGTACAAGTATGTAATGGTATGTTACTATGTATATTTATATACGAATACCTTGCAATATACATATTAGTAAGGGTATATTACATATACATTCACTGGTATGGACAAGCATGTTAAAAACTTTACGTCAGAGTAGGTTACAATGGAGGTGGTCGGAATGGCGCAGTTGACAGCATGATCGCTGTTCTGCAAGACAACAGGGGTTTCAATTTGTCAATTCCTCAATTTTCCGTTTGGATGTGAAAAAGGTATTGGGACATCTGCCCAACATTTTTTTTTTTTTTTACAAAACTCTGGTTTCTTTCCAAACATCCCTGTTATACATCAATTTCAACAAGACTGATCAATTTAGATTTCATAATTGTTGTAAAATAAACACAGTTTATATTACTGGTGTATATTGTGTTGCAATGTACTTTTATGTATGACCAAACATTATGTTTATGTAAACATCAGACACATCTACCCGGGAGCACCATAGTATGTACAATATCGATTGTGATCCTAGTACTTGGTACTAAAAAGCCACTAATGAGCAGCTGATCTGATACTCACTAATGAACACTCAAAGTAGTTATCACCACTCTCCAGGAGGGGAAATAATGACACTCCTTTACAACACAAAAATAATTTGAAAAGATGTGTTTAAACTTGTTTATGCAAGTATGCAAACAATTTTTGTAAATGTTTCATTTAACACTGATATTAAAAATAACATGCAGGAAAGTTCAGCTTGTGTGCAGCTTTCCACACTACTGCTTCCAATTATATATTAATGAGATCACTAACTTTACAAATCAGTTGACAACCAATTAAAAGTCTGCATATCAAAATACAAATCTGTTAATTTTTTACTTTGGAACACACGTTTAAAAGATGAACATGAATTTTCCTAATTTGAATATATATTGCATACTGATAAAATTGTAATAAAGTTCCCATAAAGAACATTGGACTGGTGCGAATCTTCGTGGATAGTGACACGTATTATCTAGAAAACTGGTATGTGAGCTTTTAAATGACTAGATGTACTGTATTGGTTAATGACTAAATGTTCAGCCCCGGTTATGTACATTTTAATTATTAGATGTACAGCCCCGGTTATGTACATTTTAATTATTAAATGTACAGCTTCGGTTATGTAATCCTAGTTATGTACGTTTTATTGACCAAATCTACAGCCTGGCTACATCCAATGATTAATCAGGTGTTCCACGCTGATGTAAATATAACACCCACGTTTCCACTAGGACAACAGCCAAGGTTTCTAAAGGGAAAACTGCTGTCCTTTTTCTGTTTTCCCCCAACAGTAATTATGCAGTCTTACTAATGGTATTAGAAAAGCATGATGAATGGAAATTAATTTTTTTCACAATTATTTGCTTGTTATGTCCAAAATCAATTCTCCACTTCTTCACTACGCTGCTGCAGGACTATTTTGTGTAACTAATCTGTCATTCAGAGCGGTAAAACCACTGCCATACAAGCTCCTGTATTTGCATCCCAACCAATAACGTGTTCTCTTCAATGACCGTAATACTAAAGGCCATGTTTCTGCATACCAATATCTCAGTTGATAAAGTTCTTTGACACAAGAAATGCGTTCCATAGGCTAGGGTACATGTTTTAGTACAAGTCTGTTTTAAATAATTCATAATAATGAAAATTAAAGTGTCATAACCCATTATAATGGATAAGCAATGTCAGGTTATAACATGGCTCTTTCCAGACAAAACTTATCCCTAGTCTGACTGCTGGGCGATAGGAAATAATAATGGTTCATCAGAGTATTTCCCCTGATTTAAATGAAATACAATACATTTCTTAAAATGCTGTAAGCATTTTCTGACTTCTCCTAACAGGGGTTTTCCTCCTCAATCTCCCCTTATTTAAGTAATGGGTATTTCCCCTGATTTAAATGAAATACCACATTCCTTAACATGTTGTAATATAAGCGCTGAGTTCTTCTGACAGGGTTTTTACCTTCTCCATGTGTGACGCGAATCCCTTTCTTGTGCAGGCGTACGGCATCTGATGGACTAGGCCCGTGTTTTCTGTCAGTGTTAAAACCATGTCTAGCACTGCATCCTCCGAGACTGTAAAAAACCCATAAAACATCACAAAAGTGTTGGTGCTGATGCCATAAGATGGAGGCCTTACCGAAAGTCTTTTAAGAATGCTGCTATAAAGATCCTGATCTTCATCTACGGTGATGAAAATGAAGAATCTCCCCCATTACTCTACAGAACGTATGAGAATGGAGTGTCAGGAGGAGGGGAAAGTGTGTCTATATGTTATCTCGTAAGACATTGAAGTATAAAGTATTAAGACAAGTTTTATGCACAGGCCTATATGTATTATAATCTTCCAAGGTATGAACATAAATGTTTTTACAAACAGAAAGATAAAAAACTCTTTAACATTAACACTGTAACTGTTTACCTCAAAGTACACATTTATTTTCTTAATGACACGTATAAAGCATCTGAATTTTACTAACAGTGGTCATTTTTTTTATAAAAATGAAACGTTTTTCAAAAGACTCCTTTGCCTTTGTGTATTCAAATTTATTGTTTGTTTGGTACCCCAGTTCTGAAAAGGATAGCACTTTCACTGCGTAACTAGTCAGGAAAAAAATAAAAAGTTCAGCAAGGAAATCTGTGTTATATATATGAATGCCAATAAAACCAGACATCTGACTGTATCATTACTGTTTTGCTTTACTTCTATTGAAGGTAGCTATGCAGTGTCATTTGTTTATTACGTAATTTCTACTCTCTTTCCCCAACACTAGAGCTGAAAAATTCTGTGAATCCCTACCTATCCCAAAATTATTGTCATTGCTTATATTCTTTTGCCCACATTCTTGCTACATCAGACTCAACCTAGCAACAGCAAACCCATTTCAATTACTGCCACCTGAGTTGCCCAGGAAACGTTGCCATGACAACGATGCACGACAGGCCTTTAATTGTTTATTACAATGCATGGTATTGGGCCTGGCAGTTTCCACTTACATAACTTTAACTCCAAACACAGTTATCATTAGAAACACAACACCCAGGCTATCGCTCTAGCAGATCCTTTTGTCTGTTTGGAAAGTAAATTGGAAACATGTTTTCAAGACAGACTAAGAAGAGAATCATACGATTAAAGGTTTACCTGCAATAACATCTAATGGGAGAAAATCTATCCTACAACTTGTATTATTTGTGGACATTAAATCATACCAAAAAAATATTCATTAGAAATATTTCAGCTTAAAATACACCATAATTGTACAAGATCTGTCCTTGGTTTCATCAAATCTCCTCAATCCAAATAATTTGCTAACAAAAATTCACCCACACGGAAAGCATTGCTTAAAGTCAACGATAAATCTTAGCTTAAGCGAAGTTGTGATCAGAGAAATCAGGGCCAGGTATTACAAGATCGTAACGAGCGAATCACAAAAAATTCTCATTTTTCAGCAGCCCACCATCCTTCAAACAAAACAAGCAAGTAAATCACTCTGACTATGCAATTTTCATAAAGGTTGATGAGGTGAAAAATCAATATCGTAGGGTAGATAAGGAACTCTTACTGTAGATGGCGCTGTCACTTATGAGTACCAGGTCGTATTTAGCTGCCTTGTAGCCCGATATCATGTTGTTAATTTTGGGGTTAATGCCCACAGGTTTTCCTCCTGAAACACAAATTTACCAATAACAACATCAATAAGCAATAAGTTCGACGAAAATTTTAATTAAATTTGGTTGTTTAAATTTAACTTACACAAAGTATTTGTTAACTTTCCTTACACCTTTTTTTCTTCTCCAAATATTATACCAATTTTAAAACATGCAATACATATATTTCCATGCTCTGAGCAATGATTTTGAGTGACTGGGGTAGGGTATGTAAATTTTGTTTAAATTTAGCGGTTTAAATTTAACACACACAATATATTTGGTAACTTTCCTAAACAGACTTCTTTTCTTCCAATATCTATGCTGATTTTCCAAACCCCCGTATCTGCTTGTTGTGAGCAATGTATTAGTGTAGGCTTCCCTGAGCATTGCATTACTCTTTACTCCCAGAGGAGGAACATCAGGCAGATTTAACGGCTCCTCCACAAAAACAGTGTATTGATTTAACTGCTGCTAGTGATGCAGTATCAAATTCACTGAAGAGCGTTTCATGTTTTTTAGATTCAATTTAGGTTGCCAATGATTTATGCATAACAATGAAATTGGATGAAATTCCAATAGTGACTCAAAGCTATCGACAAATCAAAAACACAATTTTGGTATAATTAAGTGAAATATAAAATCTGAATACCAGTATATGATAAAGTATTAATTAGATTTAAAGAACGATAAAATGCATCTAAACACAGCTTGTTTGCTACAATTTTACTTTAGCTTCCCAGCAGAAGCAGGTAAACGCCTCAAGCCAGCCTCCCCTGTACCGTGCCTACTATGGCCTGCAGGGTCTCTTTAGACTTTTTATATAGAGTCGTGTGTGTGCAGAGCTATTAGTGTTACCATATTGTTACATACACGAACCATTAATCACCTGTCTACAATAAAAACCAGAACACAATAGATCGAGCTTGCCAATGACAGAGCAATGTACGGTGAGCACACAGAAGTGAAGTGAGGACATTGTGTAGCGTCAGGTCGTAACGCTAACAACTTCTCTGATAATGTTTTTGGTGCCAGCATTCTGGTGGTTACTATCACGATCCTAGGAAAATACCTTTATATCTTTGGAAATTACATTTCATCTTTTCAGCAATGTTTTTGGGTAGAATAGTTTAATTGATAATATCTCCAGCACACACACAGGCATACACACATAGGGAGATATTAGCCAGGTGGCAAAGGAATAGTAGTTGGTGCCTGATAAGGCAGCTCCTGCGAATTCCTCGAAAATTGTATCGATTAATGTATATGCTAATTGTATTGATTACATAAATTGTATATCTATGTTCTGAAAAGCGCGTTAGAGTGGCTTAGGTTAGCTAGATAGGGCGCTATATCAAATGTTGTATACTATTGTATATTATTATTGAAGTCAACTTTGAAGAGCTTTGCTATTGATTTTTTCTACATTTTTCAAAGTAACGAATTCAACTTTTTGTGGTGCAGATTTTGTATTGTTGGGTTGTGTTAGTTATTTTGGTTCATTACAACAGCTAGGGTCACATGATGACAATATGCACTAGTGATGACGCCCTACATGGGCTAGCCGATTTATTATATCATCACAATTAAGTATCACAACTTACCCATGGCAGGCAGGTCAATAACTTGCAGAAAAAAATTGACAAATATCACCAGACAGTTTCTTGATGAAATGGAAACATTTAATTTCAAAGTGAGAATCAGGTACTTACCTACAAATACTTTGGCGTCAATATTTGGATATTTTTTTAGAAGACTTTGGACGATCATGATGGCAGCATCCATTTCATCTTGAATACAAAATAGGAGCTCATACTGAAAAGACAAAAAGTAACATAAATTAAACATAATGTTCTAACTTCATTTTATTGACAATAAGCTCATGGCTGGTTAATAATTCCCCATCCTCTTGTTAAGTCAGAATCCATTTTTTCTCTGTTTCTACGACCCCTTTCTTTATTACAAGTACTGTAAGTCTCAAATTAGGAAAATGAACTCCTAAATATAAGGGCAAGGTGCACTTCTTCCTATCTCATGGATTTTATTTATTTTCAAGGTGTATGAGATGAAAAATTGAAATGTACGATGTTATATAACACAACCTGTTCCAAGCTACATGATAGTTACTTAACAAGCTGTTACAAAGGAAAGAAAATTATCTACTAAACACAAGTGCTCGCTGTTTTTGCAATCTCCCGACTAATTTTTATCAATTTTCTATAGGTGTATGAAAGAAAACTTCCAAAGATTTATTTGTATCAGGTAATGTAATACTACCTGTTTACAAAGTGCATATAATCATATAACCAGCTGTTACTGTCCGAACCTCATTTCCGTCATACAATACCTCAACATTGTACTTATATCTTTATTAGCAGTCCATCACTAGATGTTTTCAACAACTTGAAATTTAAACCGACCTGTTTACAAACTGCACGATGATTACATAACAAGCTGTTACGCTGACATACAAATCACGTAAAACCCTACATTGTCCATACACAATTTTTATCATACAATACCTCGACTTTGTATGCATATTTTATCTAACAGTGAATCAATAAAAGTTCCAAAACAAATGATCAGTTTGATGTGGGGGGGTTTCCTTGGACCGCTGAGTTGATAAGACCAATAAAATGTGGCTTCACATGATAAATTATGTTGAATACACCAGACATAGGCAAAGTAACTGTGTAGACTTCAAACATACAATATATATGACTAGTAACTGGACCACCTAAACACCAAATGAATTCCCACCCATCTAACAAAATATTCATATGTAGCAGAACAGGACTGGGTGGAAGATTAGGGACCAGGAAGCTCAATTGGTCAAGCGTTCGTCTAGAGTCAGAGGGGTCCCAGGTTCGAGTCCTGGCCATGCGTTTTTCTGTTCCTATTACAAAATTGGTGCCTGTGACCAACCCTTGTTTCAAGTACAGGGTGAATGTTTGGCAAAGGGATACCTGGACCTGGGTTGTAAATATTTGTGTCTTTTGGGACGAAGGCTTAGAGAAAGGATGGAGGAATGTAGAGCAACTGGACTGGGTCAATTATCAGCGACCAGGTAGCTTGATTGGTAGTGTCCATCTAAAAGCTCAGAGGGTCATGGGTTCGAGTCCCTGTCTAGCCATGCAGTCTCAAATAAATATAAAGTGTATTCAATGTCATCTAATAATTCAATACAAGTCAGAAGTTGGTACAATTGTTAGATTTTCTGGGCCATTTCAATAATTTTGTTTTTCCTACTGGTAAATTTGTACAAATTTTGTTTACAAAATTACATCCAGGACACAATGTGTGAGAGGTCAAAGCACTATTTTTGTTTACAACATAATATGTTTAACCAATATGATAATACTATCATTAGATATGATCTGTTCTGTTATCTTGGTCAATGTATTTATCTAGTACAGCTAACTGTTACATCTACCATCATCAAGTAATTAATGTAGGCGGGTTGACCTTTCCCTGGCCATGTGTTGTGTATATAGGGTGACCTTGCCTCAATTTACAATCAGCTCAGTGTAACATGACACCATGTCGGATTATTTCTTAAAACTATTCCATGTACAGATGTGGTAGTAATTTGAATTCTAATGCACACTAATCAAAGTCACATTTCAGAGATAAACAGAAATGGGTATTTCTGCAGCTATTTCATGTTGTTAATTATAGATAATATTGTTTATTTTAGTGGTATAAACACTATAGCATTTCATAAATACATTTTACAGGACAACAAATTACTTTTACCATCAGGCCCCGTTTGCTGAAAGGTTGGTCAACTTTAACCTGTGGTTTGTGAAAAAAGAGCAAATGAAATCCTCAAAACACAGCTTTCCTATTTGTCTCAAACATAAAACAGTGATACATCATCAAATGGTTTTTATTTTCTTGTATTCATATTTTTTTTCCCCCTAACCACTGGTTAACCCTAACCAAGGTATGAGCAACCGGGCCAGGAATTCTGGTGTCAATATTCATCATCGTGGTCATTCACATTTTTTGCCATTTGTGCCATATCATGTCGAGGTATGTACTATGGAATGTTACTGACCAAGTTTTGCTAAATTTGTCAGTTGACAAGACAGCTCTGTGCCCTACCAGAGCCCATCCCCACATTTATCAGGTGCTGGACAATCACCTATAACTCCAGACTACATATATATGTGTACATTCTGCGGTGGAGGTGGCCAAGGGCGATATTCCTTGGTGAAAAAACTTGTTTGCGGCAACCACAAGTCCTATGGGGCAGACTCATTATAGGGCTGACTCGACTCGAGACCCTGTCCAACCACCTCCATCAAGAGTGTCAAAAATCAATCTGCTCAACATACATTCAATCAACTTGATACACTATAAATGTCCTCCTATGGGTAATATCTACTTCATCTGGACCTATAAGCTATATAACCTCATTATCTAATAGTACTCGACCCTTGTCTTGCCACATCAATACCATCACAGCCCTAACCATACCACTGATAGACTCAGCACTGCTCTCCTGATAATACTGGTGGCATAAGGAGGGCAGTTTTGAGTCTGAGGGAGTAAAATCTTCATTTAACTCTAAGAACACAGAAACAACAACAATCTGAGGTAGTAAGATTCAGACCCAGGGCATTCATGCTCACCAGAGCAAAATAGGAATAGCAGAACATGAGGAAAAATAAACTTGAAAATAGATATTCAATATTGCTTTTGGCCTGAAGCAACTAAATGTCACAAGGATGCTTGTTGTGCAAAATTTTGTGCAATTTGTCTAGAAGTACTTGTGAAGTTTCCCAATATAACTAATATTTTCAATATATCGACAGAGAGGGAATCCCCTAGAGAAAGGTTTTGAAAATCTTTTGAACAAAATCTAAAATGACCCTTTTTGGGCCCCAAACTTCAACCCCAAGAAGGCCTTTCCTTTATTAGCTGAAGCCCCTTCTCACACGGATGTTCATGTTAAATTTGATTGTAATATATTCAGTGCTTTTGCTGTAGTACTTCAGCTTTTTTTCCGGTTATGTGAACTTTTATACTATAGCTCACAGTTGGGGTCAAGTAAACTTTTATTGTCGATATGCAACAAAATTTAAATGTCCCGTGAAATATGGACATATTGAGTAAAAATAAAATGTCAACTATATCGTCCATGCATCTATCTCATTTGTATCATCATTAGTGCCTTTCTTGTTGTTCACAAACAAATCAATAACACCTGACATGACTAATGTTGGGATACATTGCAGCACAATCCTTTAACATGGTGACCTCGGTAACAACCCCAGTGTGACACAGGCTTCTGTCTGTAATGATCAGGTACCCTACTAACATGAGATTCATCTCGTCACAGATTTTTAATGGTAGCTACCTAATTAACTTCAGGAAACACTCTACCTGGATATGGCTTAACCTATTAGCATTTACTGATAAACATAAAATGTATGCAAATTCTATACAAATTCTGTACAATTTACTGAAGTTACTCAAAAGCACCCAAAAACAGGCAACAGAATTTGAGAAATTGTAATGAAACAGGTCCATTTAAGTCTTTAAAACTACAAATCTGTCAAAAGTACACATTGTACAAAGAAATATAATCCACAACATGTCAATAACCATGGAAGCTATTCAGACTCAATGTATATTGGAATCTGTGACTGAAACTGTGACAGCACCCAAAGGTTGATTGTTTAGGAATGTCCATCAAATAGTCTGGTAGGTGTACAAATTGCTGACTTGGCCACCATGACACAAATGATTTTTGACGAAATTTCAGTATTGTGAAGTACTGATGCAATCCCTATTTAGAGAAGCTGTTACAGGACGTGTTTTGGAGTGTTTTATCTATCATTATTTGGAGAAGCTAAGAGTGTTAATATATAAGAAATATTCCTGTTCAACTATTCATTGGTGATTACATCTTCGTTAGCCAATGGTTCAATCCAGTAGGATCCGGTCTACCGGATTATACTGGACGTAACCCTTGGCTAGCGAAGATGTGGTGATTAAAACAAAAGCTTTAGTGACTAAAGGAGCTGAAAGTGTTCAGGATTGTTCTTCAAAACATTGGTGGACATGTACAAGCGTTCAGAAATGTTCTTGTCCACCTAATTCTGGGAGAAATGACTGGTCTATCTGCAGAGAAGCTATGACTTAAGCGTGGTTTTTCAGGATTGCCCACACTAAGCTGTGAATGTAACCCACTACTAAATCCTGACATGTATCTCCCATTAACAAAATCTGATGACATCTAGGTGACATTGCTGGACACTAAACACGGTTTGATGCGAGCCTCATCAGGACCTTGTCACACATAGGTGAAGAACAATACCAGTTCTAGAGCTTCAGTAGTCACACATAGGTGAAGAACAATACCAGTTCTAGAGCTTCAGTAATCACACATAGGTGAAGAACAACACCAGTTCTAGGGTTTCAGAAGTCACCCATAGGTGAAGAACAATACCAGTTCTAGGGCTTCAGTAGTCACACATAGGTGAAGAACAATACCAGTTCTAGAGCTTCAGTAGTCACACTTAGGTGAAGAACAATACCAGTTCTATAGCTTCAGTAGTCACCCATAGGAGAAGAACAACACCAGTTCTAGGGTTTCAGAAGTCACCCATAGGTGAAGAACAATACCAGTTCTAGAGCTTCAGTAGTCACCCATAGGTAAAGAACAATACAAGTTCTAGAGCTTCAGTAGTCACCCATAGGTAAAGAACAATACCAGTTCTATAGCTTCTGCGATACGTGATATGGTGGACAGGTAAAGACGTACAGGTGTGGAGCTCCACAAAATTTTGCTCATTACGGCACAT